TGTTCTGGCTTCAACATTTCTCTCACAAAATTGAAGAGTGGCAGAAGCGTGTTCTAATTGTTATGTGGGCTTGTTGGCGCACTAAACACACACTGTGCGGCGCTTTTCCTGGGCTGTGCCTGCCTCAACATTTATGGGAGGACCTTACCAGTGCGGAAGGGGGGGAACTAATTGTAATATGGCTTTCTGGCTGCGCTATGGTACACCCTGCGCAGTGTTTTCCTTTCATGTTCCGGCTTCAACATTTCTCTTACGAGCTTCAATAGTCGGAGAAGAAGGTTGTAATTGTGATATGGACTTGTGGGCACACTAAAATACATTCCGTGTAGTGTTTTTCCCAGGTTCCAGTGGCCTTAAACATATCTGGAAGAGAGAGGGGCTTCAGAGCTTTACCAGATACATGTCGCTGTAGAGGTTTAATTGTAAGGTTGCCATTTGTTTGCACTATACAGTGTGTGTTGCGCGTGTTTTTTTGTGGAAAGCATTGCTCCAACAATTTATATATATAAGAAGTACAGGTCGTGCAAGGATGTCTAGGGTAGAATTGTAATCTCCAGTGGCAGGGACACCATGTTAGTTTAGACAAGAGCATCGAGTCCTCCACTTTATCTCCCTTTCCCTTTCGGTTGTTCTAACTTTCGGTTGATCTCGGTTGAGCCATTTGTGCTGCACGAAAGCAAAGCGAGAATCTCCGGATTAAGTTCGATCTTGAGCTCAAGATGCCCAAGTTCATGTTCCAAAGGCATGTGGAAACTGTCGAAGCAGAGAGGTTCAAAGCTATTACAAAACACACTCGTAAAACGTCGACAAGGGGGGGGGAAATTGTAATTTGCTCTGTGTGGTACCCACCCATAGATTCTTACAATTTCCACCCCCCCCCTCCTTTCAAAGTCTCCAGAAGTAGGCCAAGACCTCTTTGAGGGGGGGGGTCAAAAAAAGTAACATCCTCACATAGGCTACCTCAACCCTAGATCTTACAATTTTCACCCCCCCCTATAGGGCTATATAATGCTATTGTTGCGCAATCAAAAAATGTAAGTTACAATTTTGACCCTTTTCGGGGGGGTCAAGCACCGCAAGGGGGTGGTGATGCCTCCACACTATTAGCGATGGCCTCCAACCAAATAGCGATGGCCTCCAACCTACTAGCGATGGCCTCCAACCTACTAGCAATGGCCTCCACACTACTAGCGATGGCCTCCAACCTAATAGCGATGGGCTCCAACCTACTAGCAATGCCCCCCACACTACTAGCGATGGCCTCCAACCTAATAGCGATGGCCTCCAACCTACTAGAAATGGCCTCCACGCTACTAGCGATGGCCTCCAACCTAATAGCGATGGCCTCCAACCTAATAGCGATGGCCTCCAACCTACTAGCAATGGCCTCCACACTACTAGTGATGGCCTCCAACCTAATAGCGATGGCCTCCAACCTACTAGAAATGGCCTCCACGCTACTAGCAATGGCCTCCAACCTAATAGCGATGGCCTCCAACCTAGTAGCGATGGCATCCAACCTAATGGCGATGGCCTCCAACCTAAAAGCGCTTGCCTCCAACCTACTAGCAATGGCCTCCACACTACTAGCGATGGCCTCCAACCTAATAGCCATGGCCTCCAGCCTACTAGCAATGGCCTCCACACTATTAGCGATGGCCGCCAACCTAATAGCGATGGCCTCCAACCTACTAGCGATGGCCTCCAACCTACCAGCAATGGCCTCCACACTACTAGCGATGGCATCCAGCCTTTTAATAACGATGGCCTCCACACTACGAGCGATGTCATCCAGCCTAATAGCGATGGCCTCCAACCTACTAGCAATGGCCTCCACACTACTAGAGATGGCCTCCAACCTAATAGCGATGGCCGATGGCCTCCAACCTAATAGCGCTGGCCTCTAGCGATGGCCTCCAAACTACTAGGCCTCCACACTACTAGCGATGGCCTCCATGGCCTCCAAACTACTAGCAATGGCCTCCAACCTACTAGCAATGGCCTCCACACTACTAGTGATGGCCTCCAACCTACTAGCAATGGCCTCCACACTACTAGCGATGGC